TTTCCCTACCTTTGGCACTTCTGTACCTGTATGATGATCTAAATGTGAGTAAATAGAGCAGAATTCCCCCCTGGTTCTGTAAGATTTACCAGAGACCTACTTAGTCTTTAAGACCATGCACTTGATATCCCATGGCTTTGCCCCCAGCTTAAGTCAGATGATTGATGCTGGCCATTGGCATTGCTGCATAAACATGTATCCCATTTTAAGATTTCTCTGTGAGAAATAAGAGATTTCTTTTAACAGCCAGTTTGGGAGTATGGTGTAGCAGAGTGGTCTGAACTTTTTCCCAGGCTGCTCCGTGACCCTCTGAGTGACCTTGGGAAGCCAGTTCACCTCTTTGTTGCCGTGTCTATTTGTACGTTATCTGAAGCAAGGACTGCTTCTTTAGGGCTCAGCTGTAGTGAGTGTAGCAGCTGTAGCTGAAGGGACACCAGGCATCTGCTGTTTTGCTCCCTTACAGAGGGCAAGGTGCAGTGGTTTAGATGTAGCATTTATGCTTTGCTGCTGCCCTCCCTACATGAGACACAACATCTCCTCCAGATACAGGGCTGAGGTATACACCTGGAAGTAGTAATGTCCTCAGCTGCTGCAGGAGCGTGTTCCAATCCACGGCAGACAAAAGTGTTAATAGGAATGTATGTGCCCTGTCATATAGTTGGGGTTTGATCTTAGCTGGAACCTTGGGGCATTAATTGTTATGCAGATAGTAAGAATAACTTGAAACTGCATTGCACCCGCCCTGCTTGAGTGAAGCATTTCTGAATTTGTGCTAGCTGGTCATGGAACTTCACTCACAGCACAGATGCAGAAGTTTTAAGCTGTCATTTTGTTAATGCACTTGTTTTTTACAGAGAGTGCAGCACACGAAGAAGTTGCTGAAACTTCATTAGTTACCATTTTGAGCTGTACAGCAGAAATGTCTGTGTGAACATACCAACACCACTCACTTCTGCTCAGGTGACCCTAAAAAAGACCTAAGATAAACTGTATCCCATGACACAAGTGGTAGGCCAAGAACACATCTCTGGGTGTGAAACATGGAGTGGGAGGAATAAAGCAGAATTTGTCCTATGCTCCTTTATAATCTGTGCAGTAAAAGGAAAATTTGTAAGTGCAATTTATTTTATCCCAATATAGACCTAAAATTGTCAGTTTCTTCTATTGCTTTCTATTACCATAGTGACTGGCTCTATGTGCATTTAGGCATCTGAAGTTGGGGAGGTCAGTCCTCGCTCCTGATGCCTTATTAACCTATAGTAAATTAATTATGGGGCTGATTTCCTCCTTTTATATATTCTTCTGTATTTCAGACAAGGCCTTAGAAGGTTCCAATTACTTTCAGGATTAGACCTGTTTTGCTATGAGCATATGACATTGTCATAACTAATTAGCTCACAATGCTTCTGTTCATTCTGAGATACTGTAAAACTCAATCCTGTCTCCAAATATTTGCCTCCATCTTTATTATTTGCCTATGAATAAAATATTTTAATGAAGAAATACCAACTTTTGTGCCTCAGTGTGATACTCTAGTGGTAGCACTACATAATATGTCTTTATTCTACCAGTGCCCTGGTAGAATAATTTGTGGAAGCCAGTGGGAGTAAATGGGTAAGAAGTATTGTGCATTCTCCTACAGTTCACCAGTTGCTGCAGATGCAGGGTCCTGTGGTGAGGGAATGGCTTCCTGATGGGGAAAATGCTCTGGAGAGTGCCAGAGCACTTCTGTGCAGTGAGCAGCTCCTCCACAGGGTCTGGCATGCAGCAAAGCTCATCCTGGAGCATCAGTTCCCACCCAGGTTCACAGCCACAGGCTGGGGGGAAGATGCTTGAGAAAAAATGCATTTTAGCTGGCATTTGCTTATGATTTGAAGCACACAAAAGTTTTAGTTGGTAAATACAACAACTGGAAATCATTAGGAAAAGGCAGCTGAGGGAGTAAGATGGGCTGTCCTCATCCCAGGGACCTGTACCCTGTTCACAGTTTATCCCCTTTGCTCATCAGTTAGACTTCGTCTGAGTCCTGCACCCAGCCTGGGGCTCTGGGTACAAGAAAGACATAGGACAAATGGTAGGGCAGGCCCCCGAGATGGTGAGGCTGGAGTGCTGGTCCCGTGAGCAGAGGCTGTGAAACTGGGCCTGTCCAGCCTGGAGCAGAGACATCTTCAGGGAGACCCACCAACAGTCCCCAGTGCCTGTGGGGAGGTTGTTGAGGAAACGGAGCCGTGCTCTCTAAACTGGGGCTAGGTGAGAAGACAGAGACATCAGTTGAAACACGTGACTTTGAGCCTGGATGGAAGGCAACACATTTTCCCCCATGAGGACAGTCAGGCAGAGGCCCAGGTTGTCCACAGAGGTGGTGCAGTCTCCAACCTTAAAGGTTTTCAAGTCCCAACTGGATGAAGCCCTGAGCAGCCTGGTCTGACCTCAGAGCTGAGCCTGCTGTGAGCAGGAGGTAGGACCAGAGACTGCCTGTGCTCCTTCCCAGCCTGCATTAGCCTGATACCAAGTTTTGTGTGATTTTGGCCTGTTTTATATCAGAAATGTTGCTCTACCTTCAGTAAATTAACTCCAAAAAGCATATATAGATAGTTCAAATTGTCACATATGTTGAGAGGACTTTTAAAACTAAATCATAAATTAAATTTAGGATGGTGTGAATGAACGTAAATAAATCTATATTCATTTTTTTCCATGCATTTTCCTGGGCAGATTAATGTAATATTATTAAATTGTCACAGCTTTTCACATACAAAGAATTCCTTACTGAAAAGTCTGAGCCACCGAAAATCCCACGTTGTTGGTCCCCAGAGGCCACCCCTCCTGGTGATGGATAAATGCTGCAGTCACCTTGCCCAGCAACCCTGTTGTGTGGGGCTGCTGGCACGAGCAGGGTTTACCAGGAGAGGAGGGTTCCCTTATGTTTCTCTCCCTTTCATTTTCTTCCTTGACTTCTCCCTCTTGGTTCTTGGCTTTTCATAGCAGTCCATCAGTAATTTCTTCCAGAGTATTTAGCTGACAGTTTGGACAGAACTGCTAATAGATTTGCTGATTGGACAGTGAAGAATCCCTTCTGGGGAGCAACTTGTCAGAGCTGAACTGCTTCCAAGATACAAACACCAGTTCTGTTGAATTAATTGGTTTAGTTCTTTTCTTCAAATACGCCTTACTCTTTTTACTGCGTTACTCTTTTTTCCTCAAATGCAATAGATTTCTTGTGATAGATTCCCCCTGACACTTTATGAGGACTCTTTTGGAATTAACACCAACAGTCCTACAAAGCTGCAGAACTACCATAGATATGGTCAAATATTTATGTTGTTTGATTGTCAACAGAAGAAGCAATAGTTGCTTGAACGTTAAGGTTGGAAGAATTTATCTTGTGGTTTCTTCACACAGATGCAACCTTAAAAGCCATTATTATTTTTTACCAAGTTATACCTATAGAATTTTCTAAATCCCTGTCTCTGTTGCACTGTGTTTTTCTGTTTCACCAATCTGATATTTAAAATTTTCCTTATTATATGTACTTTGCTACTAGTTACTGCTACTTCTTGAAAGTGAAGTCCAGTGTGTTCCTATGAAAGCATTTGATGTGGTGCTATTGGAAATCAAACCACCTGTTATGTGTAAAATAAAGAAGAAAGGGCAGATGCAGAGAAATACTTGCTTGCTTCACTGAGGGAAGTCCAGTATCACAGAATCATAGAATAACAGGTCAGAAGGGACCTCAGAGATCATCCGGTCCAACCTTTCTTGGGAAAAGCACATTCAAAGCAGCTGTTTCCTAAATCTCTGAGTGTAATGGAAGTAGTTTGCAGCTTGCAAAGCAGCTGTGTAAATTTACTTTCCCTATTTTGTAGTTATTCTTCTGTTCAGTCATAGTAGTTTGAAACTTAAAATGTATTTTCTTATTGCCATATCTAATTGGAATGGTATTAAGAAATTGTGTTATCCTATCTATAACATCTTTTAGGCAAAAGATGAACTGTACTTCATTAAGGAAGCAGGATAGTGCTTGTGTTGCTTGTTATAAAAACAGAAAAAAAAAAAAAAATTTGAGGCAAAATGATGTCATTGTCAGTCTCAGTTTCTTAAAAGAAAGATTAGATACACTGCCAGTGCCTATAAAGTTAGATGTCAGGATTGGCTTGCTATAGTAAGGAGTTACAAAGAAGCCTCTGAGAACATGTAACTGTGGTACCCTGGCAGAGATGGAGATAGGGAGGCCAGGAGCCCTCCATGAGAAGGGGAGCCTGATGGATGTCAACCTAGCTATTAGTGTGTCAGTAGGAAAAACAAATGGTCTTCTGCTTTCAACAGCCTACCAGGCCCAAAGGGAATGTCTCACCAATAAATTCGGATCTAGTTGGTATCTAACAAACGTCGGTTAGTACCTTTGCTCTG